CACATAACAACAACAACAACAACATACAATATTATACTTTATTAAAAGTATATATGCCACTAGAGCTCCTTGACTAAATATACAGCATAACTATATACAACAATGTATATATTTTTTTAAATTTGATTCTGGTTCTTAGAAATGACTTCAATTGGGTTGCTGTTTTGACATGTTTTATGTGATGAGTTCAGGTGATTAATTAGTCTGTATTTTGTGACACTTTGATTGAATATTTAATCTAATTGTAGAAACTAATAGGTGAGCAGTCATTCTGGTATTTCTAAATGTAGCCCAACAAAAAGTTTTTGAGTGAAGAATACCGTAGGATGTCATAAGATTGGCCTAAGCAGAAAGGAAATCAATTATAAAAATGCCTTTCTAAGGAACCAACCTGGTAATGTATGTTAGTCTGTAGAAAAGAAATGTAAAGCATGTACATGAAAATCCTCTTTAGGCTCTTATATTTGGTAGAATAAGCTCTTCTTCAAGAATGTTGGGCTTCATTGTTTTGTTTTTTTTCATTGTGCTAACATATGTATTAAAAAATATTAGCTATTTTTACTAGGGAGCTCTGGTAGCATAGTGGCTAAGACACTTGCCTGCTAACCAGACGGCTGGCGGTTCAAACCCACCAGCCACTCCTCGGAAGGAAGGTTGGGCAGTCCTACTTCTGTGTGATACTGCCTCGGAAACCCAAGGAGTGGTTGCTATGAGTCGGGTTTGACTCGACGGCACATAACAACAACAACAACAGCTATTTTTACATATATAATTCAGTGATATTAATTATGTCCACCGTGTTCTACAACCATCTCCACCCCACTGTTTCTAGATTTTGTCATCCCCCTTAACAGAAACTCACTATCCCCATAAGCAATACCTGCTCATTTTCCCATTTTTGAAATCAGGAACTGTCAATCTTCCAACTTTGAACATAGGATCTCTTTTTATTTATTTAGTTCTTTAATTTTTTTCAACAGTGTTTTGTAGTTTCTCGGGTATAAGTTTTGTACTTGTTAAAGTTATTCTTAAACATTTTATTATTTTTGATGCTGTTGTAAATGGAAATGTTTTCTTAATTCTAGTTTTAGAGTACTGATTGCAAATGTATAGAAATACAGTTGATTTTTGTTTATTAATATTCCATCAGCTTTTTTACAAACTTTTATTATGCTGCTAGGATCACTATGAGTCAGAATCTATTTGATGGCAACAGGTTTGTTTTTTGGTTATTATCTGTTAATGAGACCACTCAGGGATGGATACTTGTAGTTCTTTTTGATTTTGAATGTTCACCATCACTTAGTTCATGTATAAAACCACTCACTGCCATCGAGTCAGTTCCGACTCATAGCAACCCCCTTTGGCTTTTCGAGGTGGTAAATCTTTACGGAAGTAGATTGCCTAGTCTTCCTTCTGTGGAGTGGCTGGTGAGTTTGTACCACTAGCCTTCTGGTTAGCAGTGAAATGCCTTAGGCACTATGCCACCAGAGCTCCTAGTTGATATAGAGGAATTACGTAATTTTAGTTGATATACTGGACTTCTGTAATTTTGTTATTCATCTGATCTGTTAGTGCTGTCATGGGGCAGCAACCAGGTGATACCACTGCTACCTGTGTCTGCCTGGAAAACTTGGATAGATGCAATAGTTTATAAGATGATGAAACCTTCAAAGCCATCTTGGGAGTGAAGATTATCTCTCTGTTCTCTCCTGCTTATAAAGCTCCTGCAGTTTGTCAGGCACTGAATCATTATATATGGATGGGATTGGAGAAGTGATGGGAAGAAGCCATGCTTGCTCAGAGGCTCAGAGTGTCAGATCATTGGGAAATGTTTCAAATGGAACAGGAATTTTTATGAATTTTGTGAGTTACGTAAAACCTTGGCCAAAATGTAACTTTGAATTAGGCTGGAGATATTTTTAGCTTTGCTCATAAAATGTAGGCAGGTATCACAATATTGATAAAAATACTTTAATATTTGTAAGCCAGAATAGTTTTTATGCTGTTATCTTTATTATGCTTTCATCTTTTTTTTCTGAGCACTCTGAGGGGCCATAATTACTAAAAAGGTGTCATTGTAGCAGTTACATTTTGATTTGTCTGTTTTTAAGTCACTAGCATTTAAAACTCTGTTTTATTAATCGTACCACTTTTTCTTTTAGCTTTAATAAAATTGACAAGTTTGTTACTATAGGAAATAGTTTTGCTATTAATGTGTATCATACTTTCAAGAGAGTAAGTGTAACTAATTAGGGTGATTACTTTTTTTATGATGAATTAATAGTTTTATTTTCTATCAGTATAATATGTTTCTTTTTTTAAAAAATATTTTATTTGTTCTTGTTAAGAATATACATAACAGAACATACACTAATGTAACTATTTCTAAATATACAATTTTGTGACATTGATTACATTCCTCAAGTTGTGCTTCCATTCTCTCCTTTTTCCAAATTGTTCCTTCACCATTAACATAAACTCACTGGCTCCTAAAGTTCCTATCTAATCTTCTTTTTTTTTTTTTATTAAGTGAAAACTATTTTAAAAGAAAAAAAAAGTACATGTCTATTCTTGGCATAAACTTTAATTCTTTCCAGTGCAACTAAAACCTCCTGAACCCGGTTC